GCAGACTTCTCTGTTGATGACTGCTAAATAAAAAAAAGTCAGCTAAAGATTATGACAAATCTAAACATTACTTGTTTGATGTTCGGGGAGAAGGAAAAAAAATCGGTGAAAAATTCATGCTCAGTCTTTGCTGTTTTAATTGTGCTCACAGCCAACTTCTTTGCAGTGATTTTGTGTGTGTTATTCAGTGTGTTTGTGTGTGTATGAGTCTGAAAGTATGCGTGTGTGTGTGCGTGCGTGTTCTGTGAACTGAGCGAACAGATAATGGGGCTGCCTGGGAGGAGGAAGCAGCCTGGGAAATGATTTCAACAGCTCTTATAATTAGAGAAATATCATAAATTAAACTTGTGTCTGCCGTTGTGTTTGAAGAGCACTCAAAAGTAATAAATTCTGGATGGTTAACATATTTGCATTTCATTTAGCAAGCAGCACCGGGCAGGAACAGCTGTTTTCCACGTCTTTTGGCAGCGGGAAATACACATTTCTCATTCAAGGTGCTTTTTAAACATATTGAAATGGCGGAAACAAAAAAGAAAAGTGACTTTTAACTTGATCATGAAGCTGCTGCTGCGTGCGCTGTCAGTGGAAACCACTCGGCAGGGAACAGCAAATTAATGAAACTCTTCAAATATTAGCCTTTATTTTTTCACAGTTTTCAAATCTGTGTGTTGCTGAGAAAAGCCAATTTTTTTTATTAGTGTATTTGCATGTGTGTGCAGTTCTCTTGTTATAAATCCAATGTATAAATACCAGAGCTTTGAAACTAATTTAAAGGTTTCCTAAAAGTCTCTGCTGTATTCATCAATTACTTGGAACAAGTTGACTGGAAAACAATACATTTTTAACTTTAAATTGTCTCAGTCGGTAACAACATTTCTTTCTAAAGAATGCCTGTGTATAGTGCTGTATATCACCATTATTGGCTAGTCTAACTGTACTTTGTTCATGTACCTTAAAGGTACTGTTTGATTTTAATTTGTCAGATTATGTTTGTTTCCCTTGGATATTAATTTCAGTTTTTACTCCACAGGTTTAGAATTATGGAGTTTATTAACATAACATCAGCTTGGAATTTCTTGAATTTGTATTATCTTTATTGAGATAATTCAATTAAAAAGCACTAATCTTGGATTATCCTACTGACATCCAGAAGTCAAGGGACTACTTTAAATGCTACTTCTACTTCCTTTAAATGTTCTTTCTGTATTGGTTCCAGCAAATGTTGTTGCAAAGCTTTCATCATTATTTCCGGGGCCAGTTCCATTGAACTTTGGATTTGAAGGTTGAAAAACCTGATTAAATAAAACATCACAGCTTGATGCCTGACACCACCACATTCAAGTTTTAGTGATTAAAATCTTTCTTGGAACTTTCTGACCCACGATTACACCTGTGTGACCTGGATTATTAATTAATTAGTTAAAAGAACATCTGGTCAAACTGGGGTTTTTACCATCAGCCCACAGTGAAACACTACAGTGTTAATATAGCAGAGATTTTATTCAATTACGGAGTCTCTGGCAACATCACTGCCTTTGGATGAGTAAATCATGTTATACTGTATATAACATACAACTGTAATGAATAAGTGCCAATGCTGCACATGCACATACAGGCAGGAAAAGGTCAAAAAAGGTTTGTATGTTAATGCGTTTATATGTTCCCCATTAGTACACTAAGTTATTTGAAAAGAGATTGAACTGTTCAACCGATTCCCTTGGAGATGTTCACCTGTATCTGACATAAGAGTTGCCGTGTCGCTGCTATTAGTCACACATTTTAAATGAAAACAGAAATAGAATACAGACAGATAAGGAGAAGGGGGGTCGACCATCCAGCTTCACACCCAGTCACATAATTACCCCAATAGGTTGTGGTTTGGGATCATATCCTGATATGCAGCGGGGGGTCAGGAGTGATAAGACTCAGCCCAGCACCCAACATACAGCATAATTACTCCATTGATAATTCGAAAATGGTCCCGGCCAATGGTGAGCTGCAATTTAATGGACTGGACAGTGAAACGAGGAAGGAATGGAGGAAAGAGTATCCAAGGCTGGATTGTGTATGTGTGTCTGTGTGTCTGTGTGTGTGTGTGTGTGTGGAGGGGGGGGGAGCCAGCAAGAGCCTTTTACCAGATATGAAAATATGTTTAGGCCATAGGGGGACCCATTTTCCCTGGAGATAATAAGGCGAGTAAAATGTAAAGCACGGGAAGGGCTTGGCATGAGGTCCAACTGTGGCTGTTTATCTGTGTGTGTCCTGCATTAGCCCATTTACCCCAGCCCCAAATTAGCTAATCATTCTCCAAGGGGAAGGACTTGGTCAGGAAATTGACATTTAGCAGCAGAGGCTCACTCTATTAACTACAGTAGATTTAATTTGCTGCACACCCCAGAAGTGGGCTGTTTTATTTGCAATCAGAGGTTAAAAAAAATGGAGCGAGAGGAGCAGAACGATGGAGACAGAGGAACTGGGTTTATTGCATCTGCTGCTTCTGGCCACTATTAGCTTGGCTGTAAATAGAAGACTGGAACTTGGAAGCCTGCAACTCTCTTGTATTCCTGCTCATGTTCTGCTGATTGCAAACATATGCAGACGATGTCAACACACAGATTTACTCATTCCAAAGTTTATTGATGGATTACTTCACCCGGTCATTCAGCACCGTCCATAATGGCCAATGTTTGTCTTTTTCTTTTCCATTAGATGTGACTACAACAGTTGAAGCTCCAGTAAACACTGGATTAAACCAGAAAAGATCTGTGAAAACTTTGATTATCGTGATATTTATTCCTTATTACACTGTAGGGGAAATTTTGTAGTGCCGTATTCTCCCTAACTTTACCTCCAAACTGCTTCACTCCTCCCTCTGATCTGCCCAGTTCAATTCTTATCCGTCTGTGGTCACTGCCAGAGAAGTCCTGGCAGTGACCACAGCCAGTCAGCCTTTGGTCTTTAAGACAGAGTTGTAGTCTCTAAACCTCTAAATTTTTATAACTTCGAATCTAATGTAAAAAAAAACATCTTACATGACTTTAGACCCAGTAAATGGATTCACATCCCTGCTCCATGTCTCCATCAGAGATTTTTGTAGCTCATATTACAGTGGCATTGAGAATGTTGGAGCAGTCATTCATTTATTTAATTAATATTCCTGAATTCTCAATCAATTATTTGGCTTTGTGAGTGCACACTCAAATAAAAGTATCTGGAGTTTTTATTACTTCATAGTAAACATTTACTATCATCAGGAGGAGGGCTTCTTTGAAGCGATTACTTTGTTCCTACATTTTCCTATAGTCAATAAACTAAAGGTCTTTTAGTGATTTATTAAAAGCCTTTTATTCGCTTTATTGCTGGGCAGAGAATGGTGATGTGAGTGATATTTAACCACAACATGCAACTTTTGTGTTTGCTTAGCAGCGTAGCTTCAACCTACTGTACTGAGGGATAAAGTGATTGATTGTAAGATGGAGTTTAATTAAATAATTAACATAGTGAATTTAGTTTTCTGGGTTTAAATTTTTAAAAAACCCTCCAATTTGAAATGTTTGTGAAAGCAAACTTCAGTTTGTTGTTACTGTCTCACTGTCTGTCTGTCTGAGAGACTTTCAGAGACACAGAAACACTGCAGCCCACTCCCCAGAGACAGGGATCGCCCCCGCCTAATTGATTGCAACAGTTGTCAGAGGGTTGTCTTTTAAGATGGTGACAGGCGTCTGAAGAAAATGATTAGTTTTCTGTCGGCAGAGAGACAGCTCTGGATGTCCCAAACTGCAAACTAATAAAAGGGGGGAAAGCAATAAAGTTTGCGGACAGCAGGTTTGACTGTTTTTATAGACAAATCAATAAAATGATAGATGATGGAAAATAACGTCATCTTAGCTGCCGATTTCTACTGGGATTTCAATAAATGGTCAGAGGCTCGCACGCACACATTCTGTACATGGTCACGGTGGAGGGGAATATGTCAAAGTGTTTTTTCCTGCATTAATAGAATCATGTGCAGTGTCACATAAATAAGTGCTGATGTTTTAGTAATTTGTTTTTACACCCGTATGGCACTGTATTGAGATATGAGTTACACTTTCAATTCTCTTTGGTGTGTGTGTGTGTGTGTATCATAACTAACAGCGTACATTTCCCATTGTAAATCTATTTCAGACCAGGAGGCCAGTGTCAGAATCAATACTGCAGAAAGGACGTTTCTGAGCCCATCTCTAATTGGCTCCATTTCTCCTGTGTGTGTGATCCTGTGTGTGTGTGTGTGTGTGTGTATTACACATGTGAAGTGCATATGAAAATGAAAAAAAAAACAAGTCTAATTTACAGTTAATATGATGTGACTACATCATTTGTATGGGTCTAAGAAAATATTGATGTGCTATTGCAATATTTTGTTACATGATTCTGCATCAGTATTCTGTAGCACTTTCGACTTAGAAGAGTCAGTGATTAAAGCAAAACCAATCTGTATATTTCTGGAACAGAAATACTGACATTATGTAGGTTTGTGTGTTTCACACCTGTTGTTGTTTGTGACTAATCCAAGTGATACAATTATTATTATACTTGAATGCCAGGAATGATGTGTTGGTGTTTTTTGTGCATCTTTTTGTGCATCTTGATGGCGCTAATTATCATCATGTCAAATTGAAATTTTGGTGCCCAGCCACAGAAAGATGGACAGTTTAAAAAAAATTACCATCAACTGAAAATTTAACAACAGTTTGAAAGATCATTATGTCTTATTATGGCGCTTTGGCCCAGAGGCAGTGTCTCTGTCATTGGTGTGAAACCCCAGGGTTCCCCTCCTGGTAAAGTTCGAATCCCGGTTAGGGCGGTTGGTACCTTCCAGTGGACTCACCACCCACAGGAAGGTTCAGGGAGGGTTTAAGCGGATGAAAATGGATGGATGGATGGATGTATGGATGGATGGATGGATGTCTTATTACGCTAAACATGATTTATCTGTGATCTTTTCATTCTCACCACAGAAGGTCTCGCAGTTGGAGTGGGAGTCGGAGCCGTCGAAGAAGTCGCAGCCGCAAAAGGAGCCGCAGCCACAGCCGTCGCAAAAGTCGCAGCCGCAGCAAAGAGCGAGACCGGAGCCACCGGAAGGGCCACGACCGAGAGCGGGAGAGGGACAGAGGAAGAGACAGAGCCAAGGACAAAGATAAAGACAAGAGCAAAGACAAGTCTGACAGGAAAGGGTAAGAGATAAAGCACCATCTTCATACTAACAACTCCATCAAAACCAGGTGTGCTATAATAAAGACCTAACTTTGGTGGTCAGTCTCTGCTCCACCTTCTGTCCATCCATCACCTCCTTCTTCCATCCATCAATTCCTTTCTTTCTACATTTTCTCCCTGAAAACAAACATGCAGAAAAGTACGCACCTGAAATGAGAAATGACTCCCTGTTGCATGAGAAGAAGTCCTGTGGAACCAGGGACATGTAGAACGTAGATGTGCTGCTCACATTCAGATGGTCAAATCAGCAGATGATTTGTGATGTCTTTAAGTCAGATTTGACCCGTTAGTCCCACGAGGAGTTGGTGCAGAGATGTAACAAGATCATCTGCATCTCCACTGCTGGAACTCATGAATGTATAAAAAAAAACAATAAATGTGAACTCCTTGGTAAGGTGAGAAAAGTTGGCGAATTCCGTTAGGGTGGGTTGTGTATTATTGAGGCTGTATGTACACACAGCACATGCATCTTGTGTTCACTTCAGTGGTGCACTCCTAACCACCTTAGAGGCCTCTCTTTGCTGCTCTTCTTCTACCACAGTGGCCTTGATTCTTCCCCAGCGCCTCACCCTCAAATGTGATTGGAGGCTGTTGTAATATGTTTGCTACCCAGTTGTTGTCTGTCATATTGAATGGCAGAGATGTGTGTAGATCCCAGGAGTGTTACAGACCAAACTAACGGTGTGTGCTGCACTTCAGTGCATTTGACTCTCGGTCCACAACAGGCAAAGACAAAACCAGAAATAAAAAAGTTACTTCTGATTTAATAACTAGTAGGAGACTAATAGTGCAATTATTTTAAAAATAGAACAAAAAGAAGCTATTACATATCACCTTTCTTAGATCTGTATCAGGCTAAAACAAATAAAGCAAACAGTGTAATGTAAGGCCAGACTATATCTGTTTTCTTATTAAGGCTTCAATATCCTTTAGCATTGATAGCAATCTGTCCCTTTATCTCTGACCCCGCTTTAGTGTGTCTCTGTGTATTGATTTGTGTGTGTGTGTGTGTGTGCGTGCATCCACCTGTGGCAGTAATATTACTGTATTATCCAAACGGTTTCATTCTCCATTTACTCAAGGCTGAATAGTGTTGGAATAAGTAAAACCCACGTAGTGCTGACCTCAAACAGGAAACACATTTATATACTAACACTTATTAATGTGTTATAATATATGCCATAATAAAGCAAAGGGTGAAATTTTGGTTTATTTGATAATTATATATATATATATATATAGTATATATTATGGCTGTTCAATTGAACGTGAACCACCTACAGAAAACCAAAACCCTGACCTAAATACCATCCAAAATGGAGCTTGAGAAGAAAAGTAGAGTGGAATGTTATTGTAGCTTTACCGTAAAACGGACCGAAACCACTACAGCGTGTCAGGACTGGATTTCCTGGAGGTTTCAGCAGGTCCATGAATCCAGTGGCTCATGGGAGTATTGAGGTGTCTCAGCTGATCTGCTTTACTAAAGAAAGAGAAAAGAGCGGTGAGGGTTTTCAGGAACATGTACAACATGACAGGCTGCAGTTTGTCATCCTTTTCTGCTTGTTATCCCTTCATCATAACGGGGGGGGGGGGGGGTTTTTTTTAAATCTCTCTTTTTCATTCACCAATACACTCACACACCCTCCCTGTTACCCTCCAAGCTCATTTACATCCAGGTTTCCTTTGTCGGGTTGTGGGAGAGGAGTGAGGAGGGTGATGTTGATGATGGGGATAGGGGAGGCATGAGGTTATAGCTTCATAACGTCTGTCAGGATAAAAGAGGGGCTCCTGTGAGCAGCACCCTGACACTGTGTGTGTGTGTGTGTGTGTGTGGCGCGTGTGTGGTGTTGTCGTCATTAAACATTTAACACTCCTCTCGTATGACAGCAGGCAACTCTGTGCTCCGGCAGCATGTTTTCATGCAAAATTTATTGAAAAAGACGAGCTGTTGTTAAGTGATCTTGTTGCCTTTCACCAGTGGCAAAGGGTAAATGGGTGGTTGTCAGGTTGTCTTTCCTCCCATGTTAGGGTGTTTGTGTGTGTGTATGTGTGTGTGCTACAGTGTTCATGGTCTGCCTTTCTTTGCGGAGCTAACCACATGATTCTAGACCACAGTAAATAAGTCCAGGCACTAATCTTTTGAAAGCATCCCTGTTTTAAAAACTAAGCTGATGTCACTGCATACATCATGAGAGGAATTAAATTCAGGCTTCACTGATTTATTAATTCTCTTTGATCGTCCTGTCGGGCCATAAATAGCACATGGTTAAATCAGGGGCCACAGAAAGCCTGGTGCAGATCAGGATCGTCCAGGGGTCCAGTATATCAGGGAGTATAAGTTGTTTTCTTCTTTTGATAGTAGTGTGTTACTGATTTAACCTCTGGAGAAACTATTTAACCACAGTCACAGCCTTGTCATTGGCTTTTCTGATCCCAGCCTGATGAGCGCAGTGGTGGCTTGAACGGTTTTTGGCTGAGATCTTAGATGCGACCACCTACGACCCTGAAGTGACCCACATGGTCAGAAGAAGACATGGTGTCATAACACATGTCAGCGTGTGTGTATCAATTAGGAAGTTGTTGTGCAATCAATGTCAGTTGGTTTGGTCACTTAGCCATCAATCAAATAGTCTCTGCTGTCCCCACGGCTGGAGCTGTCGTACAAATGTGCTCCAGCTTTTTCTTCCATTATGTCTGTATATACTGTATGTCTGTATATGTGAGGTGATAAACTGCTTCTCTGTGACATCAGACTTTTTGGTTTTCTGATAATAGTTTAATGCACCCTCACACCCAGTGCACTTCCTCTCTTTGCCATTAAGTCATGCAAACTTAACACCTTGTCAAAGTCCTAAACCGTTGTCAGGAGAGCACTTTGTCATTTCCCTTCCAGAATGATGACCGTGGTGATTTCCTTTTTCAACCCGTAACCTCGGTAGTAAAAGACTGAGCTCAGTCCAATTAGACTGAACTCCTCCTCTGTGTCCAAAGACTGAAGAAGTGTTGAACCGTCTGATGCAATTAAATGTCATTTTAAATGGGCAGAGGCTAGAGAGCGCTGGGGCACACAGAGCGGAGTGGAGACCCTTATGGCAGTAGTCAGGAGGTGTCAGCCCTTTCTCTACCTGCTGGTGTAAAAGTGAAGTTGGTATAATGAGCTCAGGGTTTGTGATGGTCCCTGACCCAGCCTTATTGCAAGCGCCCAAGCAGGAGCCACGGGCCCTAGTTTGAGTAGCTGCGCGTCATAACTAGGTCTGACCTCTGGAAGTTTAGATACTGTGAGGCAGAGAGAAAATAAAACAAGTCCCTTGATACGAACACACACTCATTCACCTTCACTGTGTTGATTTAGCCTCTTTCCACATCTCAGTGCAGGGAAGTGAGTGTCTGCTTCTTGGCCTCTTTTGAACATCCATCAGCTCATTAGTGTTGGTAATACACAGAGAAAGTCAGTAGGCCTGTGTGTGTGTTTACACTTGTACATAAGTAGCCCCTGCCTGCAGCATCCACTCCGTCTATTAGGAGTGTGTGTATGGGTGGTGAGGTTTGGTCCTCTGGCTGCTGGTGTGTGTGTGTATGTGTGTGTGTCTACACTTGTTCAGGACTCTAGGCTGTGTCTGGCTTTAGGAGTGGGTCTGGGGAGGTGAGAGAGAGAGTGAGAGAGAGACTTTAAACCCTGTCCTCAGTTGTTGAGGATACCCTCGCATTGACTTAAATCTCTGAGCTGTTAGTGTTCCTGTTTTCATTTGTGTGTTCATCAGGAGGCAGCTGGGCAGTAGCCTGGTGGCCAGGAGCAAGACCAGGCCTGGGTGAGGCTGAGGAGAAGTTTATGGGTCTGTAGTCATTTATCCATTTGGATGAGTGCTCAGGGTTATTAGTTGGGGGCAGAGGGGGAGTGGGTGTAAACAGAAAGGATGTCTACATGCAAAAGGTGGACATTGTGCAAACACGTAGAAAAATGTACAAATCCCAGGGGAACCACACACAAACACACACATCCTGGGAGCGTTGTTTCTTGGCCTATGGCTTTCTGTAGTCATTAGTGTGTTTTTCCTACAGATAATGGGCGTAAATTGGGCAGAAAACAGCCTGAGAAGATAAACTCGACCTTCACTAGAGGGAAATTCGTAGTTTCATTTTTTTTCACACAAATTTTAATGATTGTTTCTCTTCTGGCCTTTAAAAACTGGGTCTTTTTTATACACTTGTTGGGTTTAATCCCCGAACCACAGATCCTGGTGCAGGTCAGAGTTGTGCATGTGACGGGAGGTGGAGGTAGATTAGTTCCTTGATCGACTCTCAAACTCTTGGTTTTGAAAATCAGGTTTCAACATTTGTTGATTGTTAATAATGCTCTTGTTTTGTTCTTGTGTTTTTTACACACGGCCATTGTGATATAGGAATAACTATCTAGCTGCTGCCTTTTGTCTTTTTGTTCTAGCAATATATAAGTAGATAAAAGTTATTTTTTCATATGTGGGTATGTTGATTTATTTCAGTGAATCATGATTATCCGTGATTAGTTTACAGCTAGATTGTGATTAACCTGATTTTAGAAAAATAACTGATAATTAAGAATTAAAATAATAATGCATTTGCATTAATTACCTGTACAGGGAAACACTTGACCTGACACAGCAGCAAACAGACCCTTCTGTGGTGAGACTGTTAGAAAACCCGGGCCTCTTTAATCACAGCACAGACACCATGAGTGAGTGATAGGAGCTGTGACAATCCACTTAGGGCTGACTGTAATCTGTTTAACCATTTAACGGCTCGTTTAAAATGGTCAAGCACACGTGATGTTCTGCAGGCTTCACGGGAACGCGTGTCCCCTGAACTGGTTAGCATCGCCGTGCTAGCACAGTGGCTTTCTGTGAGTGTGTTGATTCGTCTGAGAGCTGCTGAGAGAAGCCAGGCCTGGAGCCTGATGACAGAGACCAGACTTGGCCAAATAGAA